CTTCATCCCCCCTCCCATGCCCCCTGCTGCCCCCCGGCTCTCACATGTCCAGGTTCTGTTTGGCTCGCTCGATGTCCCACTGGATCTCGGGGGTGATGTAGAAGTACAGCTTTGGGGGCAGGGGCAGGGGCGTCATGGGGGCGCGCGCCGTGTCGGGGTCCTTGCTGCCGGAGACCCCCGGGTCAGATGGGAGGATCCCCCCCAAATCACCATGCTGGGGGCACATCACTGCACCCCAAAAACAGCCTCCCCAAGTAGCATATTCCGCCCTTTCCCCCGCCACAACCTCCCTCCCCTTCCCAAGGCAGAAGGTTCCACCCCTTTCCCTACCCCACCCCCAGGCAGGAAGTCCCGCCCCTTTTCCCATTCCCAAAACAGGAAGTTCTGCCCCTCTCCCTCACCAGCCTACTCCAGCCCCACAGAGGTGGTACAGGGGATCGCTCACCCCAATTCCACTCCCCCACACATGCTTCCCATTTTGGGGTCCCTCCACTACAGGACAAAAACAGGGGATCTGGGGCTGCTGCTCCCTGAGAATGGACCTCCAATTACCCTCCCACCAGTTCAGGGGCTCCCCAACACAGGTGTAATGTGGGGTACAGGGAATGCCATGCCATAGGGAAGGATGAACCCCACACCCCATCTTGGGGAGCCCCAACATTGGCACATTTGGGGTACTGCCTTGTGGGGAGATGAAACCCCCAAATCTCCCCCTTCTCTCCATTATAAGGGGGTCCCTAATTCAGAAGAATATTGGGGGGCTGCCTTATAGGGAGATGTGACCCCCAAATCCTCTGTTTCCATTGGGTCCCCCCAGGCTGGCCCTGTGGGATTGATCAGGGGGTCAAAGGTCTGGGGGCACCCTGAATGTCCTAGTTTAGGGCTTACCAGTAATCGAGAACATGGTCGATGATGGTTGCTATGGGGGCCCCGTCGGCCACGGCCTGTTCATACAGCACCCCACAAACGCCGTCCTCCCCCAAGATGAACTGGGGGCAGAGAACGAGAGAGCAGGTACACAAGACAGGAAATCCCGCCTCTCCCCTTCCACCCTAATCCCAAAACAGGAAGTCCCGCCCCTTTTCTTGCCACAAAACAGGAAGTCCTGCCTCCCTACACACAGTCACACCCCTGCAGTCCAAACTAGGAAATCCTGCCTCCCTATCTACATTTTCTTCACCGCCAGAAAATTAGGAAGTCCCGCCCCCACCCAACACTCCAAGACAGGAAGTCCCGCCCCCGGCTCACCTGCAGGGTCTTGTCAAACCAACGGTTGCCGCTGTTGGAGTAGCTGCCGCCCCCGTGCAGCATCTGGGCGGCGACGCGGCTGGGGTAGCGCTCGTCCGACACCTTCAGCACCGGGGCGTCGAGGCAGACGGTGAAGAGGCTGTGCTGGATGCACCGGGCCGACTCCCGGTTTAGCCGGTCTGGGGGCGGGGTCACCGGACGGGTCAGCCCCACCCCCTCGCACCAAGCAGGATTCAAACCCAGAACCTCCCTGCTTTGGGGTCCCACCCTTGTTACACCCCATTCACTGCTGTCCCCCAGGCATCGGGGTCCCCCTTTAGCCCCTTCCAAAGCAGGAAGTCCCGCCTCCTTTCCCCCTCCCCCATTACATCTTGAGATTACCTGGACCCTCAGCCAGCTCCCCCAGGCCAGGGGGCCCCCCCGTACCTCTCACAAGGGTGCTGCAGACCTGGCCCAGCTTTTGGGGTCCCTGGGCCCCCCCGTACCTCTCATGAGGGTGCTGTAGGCCTGGCCCCAGGTGTGCCGGTGATCCCCCGTCAGCACCCCCAGCGGCTCCTTGTCCGTCTTCCACGACAGCCCCCGGACGCGCTGCAGCTGCAGGTGCAGCTGGTCCACGGTGAGGGGGGTCCCGTCGCTGTTGTACACCTCCACCTGGAAAAACTGGGGGGGCGGGAGTCAGGGTCAGCCTCCGCAGGGCCCCCGGAATCTGCCCAGTGACCCCCCAGAGCTCCCGAGGACCCCCGTCCCCCACACAGACACCCCGAAACACCCCATTTCCCCCCACATACAGCCCAGAACCCCTCAGGAGTCAGCCAGCCCCACTCCCTACACAGACACCCCCCAGGTCCCCCCACCCCGGGAATCCCAGACACAAGGCTGTTCTGGGGGGGTCAGAGGGGGAGGTGCAGAGGGGCCATACCTAGGGGTGACCTGGACAAAGGGGGGCTTGGGGGTGTCACATGAGGGGGTTCTGGGAGGCACATTTCCCACGGGGTCCCAGGGCAGGGCTGGGTCTGGGGTCCTGGGGCAGGGCCAGGTCAGGGGGTCCCAGGAGGGGTCCCAGGGCCAGGCCAGGTCTGGGGTCCCGGGTGGGAGGGGGTCCCGTGGCAGGGCCGGGTCTGGGGTCCCGTGGCAGGGCCGGGTCTGGGGTTCCCAGGAGGGGTCCCGCGGCAGGGCCGGGTCTGGGGTCCTGGGGCAGGGCCAGGTCAGGGGGTCCCAAGAGGGGTCGCCGGGCCGGGTCTGGGGTCCCGGGGGGGAGGGGGTCTCGCGGCCGGGCCGGGCCTGGGGTCCCGGGGCAGGGCCAGGTCAGGGGGTCCCAGGAGGGATCCCGCGGCAGGGCCGGGTCTGGGGTCCCGGGGGGGGGGGGGGCCCACGGGCAGGGCGGGGTCTGGGGGTGTCACTTGAGGGGGTTCTGGAGACCCCAGGGCAGGGACAGCTCTGGGGGGCCGGGGCCCCAGGGGTACCTGGAAGTTGCGGACGACGGTGATGAAGGTGGGGGCCCGGCGCCCCGGGACGGGCAGCAGGAGCCCGTCGTGCTTGGGGCCGGGCAGGCGGCAGGAGGCGAAGAGGCGGCTGTACTGGGCCATGCACTGGGGGTGCCCCCCCCGGTACTCCACCAGCAGTGCCTGCCTGGGGGGGGGACGGGGACGTGAGAGACACGGGGCAGAGCGACCCCCCCCTCAGTCCTGTCCCACCACTCCCCCACCCCCAGGGGCCCCCCAGCATCATCCCTCCCCCACCCCCAGTCCTGCCCCTCCCCCACCCCTCTGGGTCCTGTATAGCCCCTCCCCTGCCCCTTCCCCCAATATCTAGTCCCCCCAATATAACCCTCCTTCCCCCATCCCTCCCCCAATACTGGGGGGGTCAGGCACTTACTGATCAATCTTAGCCTTGAAATCCAGCACCCCCGCGATGAGCTTCGCCGCAAACCTGGGGGGGGGGAACGGGGGGGACATCACAGATCCGCCGGTGCCACTCACTCCCGACCCGCAGCCCCTGCTAGCCCAGCCCTGCCCCCCCCAGCTCTGCCGGTGCCCCTCACTCCCGACCCACAGCCCCTGCTAGCCCAGCCCTGGGCTCCCCCCACCGATACCCACCGGAGCTGCCCCCTCCAGTCGCTGTAGTCCTGTTTGGGGAGCACGACGGCCGGGCTGGAGTGGACGGCGAGGGGTAAGCGGCTCTCCAGATACGCGCTCTGCACCCACCAATCTGAGAGCTGGGGGGGGGGGGGGGGAGGACAGACCAGGGTTAGAATCGGGGGGTGGGTGTTATGGGGCCTTTGACCCGAGATCTCCCCTGCAGCTTCCCCCCCATCCCAGGCTGAGACCTGGCACAACTTCATTGCACTGATGGGCGTGAGCAGAGTCCCCAGCAGGGGGTGCTGTCCCCGGGCAGCCATCCCACTCCCATCTCCTGCCCCGGATGCCGGGGTCCCCACCATCGCCCCCGTGTTCCCCCCAAAAAGCTCCAGGGACCCTCACAGGACTCCTGGGGTCCCCCACCTTTCACCCCTCCCCAAACTCCTGGGTTCTGCCTGCTCCCAGCCCTGCCCAGGACACCTGGGTCCCCCCCGCAGCTCCCTAACCCCCGGACTCCTGGGTCCCCCCGGCTCTACCCAGTTCTCCATGCGGGCGGCTCTGCGCTCCAGCTGGGCCTGCAGCCGTTCCCCCTCCCCGCCGGGCGCCCCGAACTCCTGCACCAGTTCCCGGGTTTCCTCCAGCTCCTCGGGCGTGACCAGCACCTCCAGCGAGCGCAGGTACCGCTCCAGCGTCTGGGCCAGCGGGGGCACGGGCTGCCGGGGCAGCGGGAAGGACGAGGCCAGACATCGCGACGGGGGCCCCTGCAGGGACGAGAACGGCTCGAATGCACCAAGGGCCACGGGCCCACCTGCCGCCCTGGGCACATGGGGCTGCCCCCAAAGCTGTAACTGCAACGGGAAGGTCACCAATGCACCACCCAGACCCTGGCATCACGCAGCCTCCGGCGCCGGCCTACACAACGCCCCAGGAGCAGCCGGCGTTGAAATGCACCAACAGCAACCTCGGTTCTAGGCTTCCAGCGCTGGAAATGCAACCGCCTGCTTGCAACGTGGCACCTGCAACCCGCAGACCCAGTGGGTCCCGTCTCCGGCCCCGTGCCGGCTAAGCGGCGGAGGCTGCAACCCTCCACCTTAACCGCGGGGGGGCAAAAGCAGAAATGCACCAACAGCCCCGTTGCAAGGTACAGCCAGAGCTGTTCTTGCCGAGCTGTCACTGCAATTGCGAACTTGCAGTTGTAACCC